TTATATAAGAAGTCCTTATATAATAACTGAAATAAATCTGGTAGGAACCTGGATTTCCTGGGTGTCTGCTTAGTCCTTCCTTCCTCTCCCTAAAATGATGATTGAGGGAGCAGAAAATTCTAAAAGAGAAAGGCAGAGTACTGGGACTATCCAGACCTTGCCCTTGTTTTATGTCAGCCTCTCTGAACAAATTACACCTACAAGAGCATTTGGCGGTCTTTTAGTGGGCTGCAGAAGTTAAGGAAATGAACAATTTCCTTCCCATTCCAAGTCAGATCAGATTTTTTAAGAAGACCAACTAAATAACTTTCTGAATAGCAACAGTAGATGAGCTGTCTTTACATGTCCAGAGATTACCACCATCTCGTTTTTCCTCAAGAAATTAATCTGTCAAAGTGGTCATAATGTGTATGTGGCCTGAGGTGGTTGTGATACTTGTGTATACATCTCAACAAAGACTCCAAGTAAGGTATAAAAACCAGAGACAGGAAATCTATGTCGGTAATTTCTTTAGCATTTACCTAAAATAGGAATGTCACTGCATTACTCCCACAACGTCGTTCTGATTCTTCCCACCAAATAAAAGTTAAATTTTGATGTCTTTCAAAAATGCCCTGTTTGCCAGAGGAAGCAGACAGCTGAGGTCAATCTGGCATTTGGATGATGGGTCCCAAACCTAGCAATACTCTCATCAGCTGGAGGCAACTTCAAAATGCCTAACAAAATTCCCTGTCATTTTTAAACCATCTTCCCTTTACTAAATCTTTAACTCTCAGAAAAAGGCAACGCTTCCAGAATCTTACTATTGGTATTAGTCTATCTTTAGCACAATTCCTCTTGTATTTATTGAGTAGCTGGGTTTTTTATGAATTCCTTGGTTATCAACCAAGGTTATCATTGGTTATCATTGAAAGCAGGTTTACTTTATTGAATTTTTTTTATAAGATCATCTATGCCCTGTAACTTTCATTTGTAAAAGCAATGTGAACACTGCTTCTTCTGAGTTTGGGAGCAGATCTTGTTCACATTGTTCTGCTGAGGGGTGGGAGTAGGGGAGAATAATTTACCTTGCTTAAGGATCTTTTAATTTTACTTTATAAATATTTATTGGGGATTCATTTATTGGTGCTCAGGGAACATGTTTTACCAGGATCAGACTCAGACCTTAAACCTGGTAGGTGTGTGCTTTTCAACTTCAGTCTAATTATCTGGTCCTGCTTAAAGTTTTTGTTCATTTGTTTGTGTTTGGATTTGCTTTGGGGCCACATTCAGTGGTTTTCAGGAGTTACTCCTGGCTCTGTGCTCAAAGGTCACTATTGGCAGCAGTAGGGGGATCATATATAACACCAAAGTCACTTAAAGAGTTTTGATGATAGTTGTCAGAAAAAAAAATGGATAAAAACGTTTCTTGATAAGAAAAAATGTGGCCACCAGTAAAAAGTTAGCTTGGAGAGTAGCAGTACTCATAAGTAAGTTAGGATTTTTTTTTCCATGTCAATCAAACATTCTTATCACAATATTTTTCCTTTCTACCTTTTAGATTATATGCCTTATTTATTAATTTATTTTAAGCTTTCTTCTATGTATATGTATTATTGATGAATATTCTATGATTTACATTACCATCAATAATGGTTCTAATACACATATTTACAGCACCCCACTCATCATCAGTGTACTCACATCCCTTTCTCAAGAACCCCAATCCTCCTCCTTCTGAACCCTGCCCTCCACCAACTCAATTGTATGAATCAGTTCTCCCATTATGTTGCCTTTGGACATTTGTTGTTATCTTGATGTGACATTTAAAATAAAAAATTTAAAAGTAGTCTCATTTTAAAAAAAAGCAGCTTGTTGCCAAAGAATAAAACAATGTTTAAAAATATTTCCAAATGAAATTGTAGTTTTTTAAGTTGAATCTCAAAATAGTAAGTGCATTATAACATGACCAAATCTATACTTATTTTAGGTATTCATTCTATGGCATTGATTTATCTGTATTTTTGTCTCCTGTATGGTATTTATTGGAACAATACTGGTATATACTCCTATTCTATTTGATTTCAGTTACTTCTTTAAGCATTTAAACTTGGTTTTCTTTTAGATGTATCTTTGAGTAGATGCTTTCTAACATGCTTTTGGCCAGACTACTAGCCAATTATGTTTTAATTTTAGGGTCATGAATCTAATATCTAATAAGAGCATCTCCAAATGCTAAAAGTTTTTAAGTTTGTGGATTCTTTCTTTATGATTTAATAATACATGCTGATGGTATTATTTTAATTTTACGTGAAGGGAAATAAATGATATTTACTGTTTTACTACACAACTCCTTCATTTTAGCTGGAGCCAAAATGAGAGATACTAGTTCAGACCCACAGTTTCTACTTCTCTTTAGCAGTTCAGAAGTGACAGCCACAGATTCTAAACATTACCGTTTAATTTAAGCAAGCTGAGTTGCTTAAAGTAGGGGGAAGGACAAAAGGAGAGAGAGGACACAGGGGATTGCCCTGCCACAGAGACGGGGGGATGGGGGGATGGGGGTGGGAGGGATATTATCCATGGTGGTGGAAAATGGGCACTGGTGGAGGGATGGGTATCTGATCATTGTATAATTGAAACCAAAGCACAAAAAATTGTAAATCTACAACTTTAAAAAAAATAAAATAAAATAAAGGGGGAAAAAAAAAAAGTAGGGGGAAGGAATAACTTGCTGACAGTATATCATTTTTTTCATTATACTACGGAGAATAATTATAGGTTTTTACATGCATTTAGGACTAGTCTATGTGGTTAAAAAAAGAATTAAGGTCATACAACATTATGCTTTTTTTAAAAATTCAAAATCAATAGAAAAAAACAATGTGACATGTAGGACCTTTTTCCTAGGGTTCAGTGAGCTAAACATTGTAAAATGTGGAAACCATATACCTTCATTATAGTTCACTACAGCTGTCATTTATTTCATTTTGGTATAAAAAGTAATTATTGTTCTGAGCATAATAGTATACATTTCCTTAACCCTGCACCAGCACTCAAATTACAATCTACTTCAATTCAGATTAATCATGCCAAGATGGCAATTCTATTACATTAAGAGTAAAATTTAATAATCTATTATATATGGCTATAGTTTCAATGGCCTAAATTATGTGTTTAACTACTTTAGGGATTTTTATTAAGATTAAAGTGAAACATAATGCATCTTAATCAAGACTTTCACGGAAAGCAGTCATTACAAAATATGTTGACTATGGTCTTTGTAATACTTTTGCATAATCATTAAGGTCCACTTACAGCTTAAATCTGAGAGGTAACTCATCATGGAAAGATGCTTAATTATTGATGTAACATGTTTTTATTCAGTTTCAATTTTGTTGCATCATAATGCAGTGATATATACAGAATTATGCTTTAGACCAAATGACCTAATAGTATATAGAAAAGAAGAAAGTTTATTTTGGAAAATAAATAAAATATATTTGATTTTAAGTATGCTTTATACCCCCCATATATACATATATATATGTATATTGAGAGAGAGAGAGAGAGAGAGAGAGAGAGAACAGTGAGCTCCAATTACATTGCATCTTTCTGGGTGGCCCAGAGATTCTACACCAAGAATTTACAACCATTAAATTGAAAAGATATATGCACACCTATGTTTGAGGCAGCATGCTATATTATATAGCCATGATAAGGAAACAATCCAAATGTCCAACAGGAGAGGAAGGGGCAAAGAACCTGTGGTATATATACACTATGGAATATTACACAGCTCTAAGAAAAGATGAAATATTGCAATTTGCTACAACTTGGATGGAATTGCATTATGCTAAGTGAAATAAGTCAGACAGACAAGGACAAATACAGAATGGTCTTACTCAACTATAATATACAGAGAAACTAAAGAAGGGGATGGAAAATACTGAATGATAATAAACCCTTGGTTTTTTGAGCACAAAACTGAGGTCACTAAGCAGTGGTATATGGAAAAGTAGTGGAAAAGGCAGGTGAGCGGGACATAAGGATAGTGATGAAGGGTCTTGGGAACTTTGGTGGTGATGAAGATGTAGTAATTTTGTACAATAAAACAAAGATTATCACTAGTGGAATCATGTTTCCTAAAATACATTTTTTTCCTTTCTTTCTGTTTTTGGGTGAGCTGGAGCGAAAGCACAGCAGGTAGGGCATTTGCCTATCTCGTGCCCGAGCAGGGTTCAATTCCTCCATCCCTCTCAGAGAGTCTGCCAAACTACTGAGAGTATCCTACCCACATGGCAGAACCTGGCAAGCTCCCTGTGGCATATCCAATGTGCCAAAAACAGTAACAACAAGTCTCACAACAGAGAGGTTACTGGTGCCCACTCAAGCAAATCAATGAACAACTGGACAGTGCTACAGTGCAGTGCTTTGTTTTTGGGTAACACCTGGAGGTGCTCAGGGCTTACTCCTGGCTCTTTACTTTGGGATCACTCCTGGCAATGCTGAGGGGACCATAAATAGACCATAAATGGGGACTGAACTGGAGTCAGCCAAATGCAAGGCAAGCACTTAAATCCACGACTATCTCTTGAGTTCCCAAATCACAATTTCTGAAGATGTATTTAGAATACACTCAAGTTTAGCAAAAAACATCTGTAAGTGATAAGTCTCCAACTTGGTAGCCCCAAAAGCCTTATTTTATTCTTGGTAAAATCACCAGTTCAGAGATCATGAGAGTCATGACCTCAAGAGTCACTGCTTTCTTTAAAACTATCAGCTTTGGGTCGGAGCGATAGTACAGCAGGTAGGGCATTTGCCTTGCATGGGGCAGACCTGAGTTCATTCCCCGGAATCCCATATGGTCCTGCAAGCAACATCAGGAGTAATTTCTGAGTGCAGAGCCAGGAGTAACCCCTGAGCGTTACTGGGTGTGACAAAAAAAAAAACAAAGTAAATGAATAAGATAAATAAAACTATCAGCTTTAACAACAAAAATTTCAGGTTTTAAAACTTACGAAGGCTCTTCTGACACAGCAGCTCCTTCTTCTAGCTCTTGAGCTTGTTTGTACCATGGGAGCTTGGCCTCTACTGGAAGTTTCTCTGAGAATTAAGAGAAGAGATTAGGCTCTGTTCAGAACTTGAGGGAAATTTCTTTTTCTCTTTATTAATTCTGATTTTGTACTATTCAGCTATAACTGTATTGAAAGTTGCAAATAATTCTTGGTATATTTTTGCCTCTGATAATGGCTATATTAAGATAAAGGGAGTCACAGTTTAGAATGTTTATGAAATTATGAAACTAGTATGTGTGTGTGTATATATATATATATATATATATATATATATATATATATCACTGTCACTGTCCTCCCGTCATTCATCAATTTGCTTGATTGACCCGGCCCAGTAACATTGTGAGACTTGTTGTTACTGTATTTGGATTATTGAATACGTCATGGATAGCTTGCCAGGCTTTGCTGTGTGGGTGAGATACTTTCAGTAGCTTGTCAGGCTCTCTGAGAGGGGCAGAGGATCAAACTCGGGTCGATCAGGTTGGCTGCATGTAAGGCAAACGCCTTACTCGCTGTGCTATCGCTGGGTGCTCTCTCTCTCTCTCTCTCTCTCTATATATATATATATATATGTATATGCATATATATATACTTGCCCTTTATTATGATGATGAGCAAAAGAAAATCTTGTTATTATAAAGGTAAAGGCCCTCCCGTTGATCATCGATTTGCTCGAGCGGGCCCAGTAACATCTCCACTGGAAACTTTGTTGTTACTGTGTTTGGCATATGGAGTACATCACGGGGAGCTTGCCAGGCTCTGCCATGCGGGCGAGATACTCTCGGTAGCTTGCCGGGCTCTCCGAGAGGGGCGGAGGAATCGAACTCAGGTCAGCCTTGTTGGCTGCGTGCAAGGCAAATGCCCTACTGCTGTGCTATCCCTTCAGCCCTACCGCTGTGCTATCGCTTGTTATTATGAAAGTCATAAATCTATAAGCACTAGTTTAGTATGTATAGCAAGCCATCAAGGTATCTTTTAGCTGCTTTTCTTTTGAAAAGATAATGTTTACCTTTAAAACAAACAGAACATGCAACAAAGTTGTTACTTTAGTAAACATTTTTTTTGGTCTTTGGTTAAGTGTGATTTATGCTATAGTGTCACAACCAAATAAAACTTTCCCATTCCAAAAAACACAAAATATAGCTTTAGATAACTGACTCATTCATCCCACTCTAAAGCTCACTGACAGTGGTATGTGAATATCTTAGGGTCAACAATCCATAATTGACTTATTGTACCTATTTTCTAGCTTTGGGTAAATTATTGAAAACAAGCTTCCTAACTACTTCCTAGAGAAAAAAATTATGGAAAAGAGAGAAGTTATAACTGTTCCTACAGAAGTAACTGCCAAGATTCCTATTTTGACATCTTTATTAGGGTCATTTATAGCCATATTTGCCTTTATAGTATGAGCCAGTGAAGCTCTATCACCGGTTTTAGCATATAATTGTAAAGATGAAAGAAATATGTCTATATATTCTTACTCTATAGAATTATATGGCATTTTAATGATGTTTAGAGAGCCAGACTCACTACATAGTTGTGAAAATCCAGATTTTACTCTTGAAGGTTAACCACAAATTGCCTTTCTTTCTATGAAGTGGCTTGATTCTTTCTCTGAAGACACAATAAATTACTGTCTATTTTAAGTTAGGGGACTTACTTCTCATCCTCCATGCACTGCAATTGTTTATAATTGGAAAGCAAAGTGAATGAGAAATACACAACTTCTGAAACCAGAAGGACTTGCCAACATTTTAAACAGAGTTACATGGTGTTACTACCTACATGTAACTACCCATACATACACCAATTTGCAACTCCTGAAACTCTCCCAATTAAACAATGCAGTCAGTGACGCCATCTCTGTTTACCCTTATTTCAGAATTAATTAATTCAACTCTTAATTCAACATGGGACACAAGTAGACTTGTAGTATTATACTCTCTACTTGAACCAAATCTTATCACATGTACCACTGTCACTTCCATATTTGAGGATGCTAATGATGAGTTGAAATTGGGGCTGGAATATAGGACAGGACTTAAGGCACAAACTTTACATGCAGCTGATCTCCATTCAATCCCCAGCACACCATGTTCCCATAGAATCCCTGAGTTCAGGGCTGGAGCTATAGCACAGCGGGTAGGGAATTTGTCTTGCATGCAGCCAACCCGGGTTTGATTCCCAGCATCCCATATGGTCCCCCGAGCACTGCCAGAGTAATTCCTCGTTGCAAAGCCAGGAATAACCCCTGTGCGTCACTGGGTATGACCCCAAAAGACAAAAAAAAAAAAAGAATTCCTGAATGCAGCCACAGAGGTCCCCTGAACACCACAAGGGTGACCAAGGGTCTAAGCAGCACTGCATCTTCATGACCCTGAATTGACCTGTTGGTTCACTCGGTAAGAATTGTTGGGAGAGAACTCTGGATTTCCTGATCCCTGTTTGGAGTCCCCTGAAATAACTTTTGTTGAACTATATTATATGCCAGTCTAAGCTAATCACCCACTTGGATGAATTCTTATTTAATAATTACATGGCTTTTGAACTAAAGCTTAAGAAAAGGGGTTTTTGTTCAAATTAGTCAAGATTCTAATATGGCTTTGGCTCTTTTTTAGGCCGTGTGTTTTGATTTTATAACATTTATTTAGATTTCATGATGTTATTCACTCCTACCAAGTGCAACCTATAGTTTGAGGAAGAGTTAAACTGAGGCAGATTTTCAGAAAAATTTAATGGGAATCATATTTAATGTTTAAAATAGGAGGGCACTTAAAATAATTTGTTTCTGAATTCTTCTCTGAAAAGTTTCCAATCCTAGAATTTTGTTTCATTAATACAGCATATAATAATGTCAGAGCAAAAGTCAGATTAATATTAAAAGCCAGAATAATAAATCTTTCTCACTATATAGAACTGCCCCAAAATTAGTTTTCTCAGCATAGAGGAAGATCTCAAAGGATTTGAGTATACACTTTGCATGTTCTAGACCAGGCATCTCATGTCACCCTCACCCCAGAAGCACTGGGTGGAGCCCTAGAAGCCTCCAGTACCGCCTGACTAAGCACTAAACTCTCAAGCCTTCAATGCCAGGCTGAGTATCATCAGGAACAGTGCCTGGGGGTTCTTGAGTGCTTTTGGAAAGTTTCCCTCCACCCTCCAATTTGTCTCCATAAATTATTCTCAGTATTTGAGCCATAAAGGTAGAACAGGAGTTAAGGTAACTGCCTTGCATGTTGTAAACCCTGGTTTAATTACTAGCACTGCATACATGGATTCCCCAAGCACTTCTGGGAGCAACCTCCAAGCACAGAGCTGGGAGTACCCCCTAAACACTGATTAGTATGCCCCCCACCCACAATTCTTTACAGAATCTATTAAATTCTGATTTGTTTTAATTTTTAAAATTTTGAATTATGGTTCCATAACCTATTTTCATATTAATGTTAAAAAAGTAAGAGCTTCATGCTTTATCAGTTGAAAATATGAGACATCCGCATATATTTTATGCTTACCATTTATAATGACTCTGATTTTTCACAGGAATAAATGTGGATCATAAATCACACATCTATTCTAAAATATCTTCTTTCAAACAGATATGTCTGATATTTTTCTGTAACAGTCCACAAACAACTTTATGACCCAGCAGAGAGTTATAGAAAACAGGTGTAGAGCTTAAGAACAGTTTGCAAGCAAAACTATCTGAAAGACATTTACTAAAAATTTAAGTCCATTTAGGACAGTCTAAGTTATAAACAAAATGGTGACTGGGAATACTTGGGATACTGAGAATTATTTCAAGGCATTAAAAGCAGCACATGAATACAACTAACAATGAAGAGACTGGTAAAAGCATGTCCTTTGTGCTTACCTTTGGGTTTATAACATGGAGTAGGTATGATGCATTCCTCTTTGATGTGTGGCTTCGTTTTTGAGCTACAGCCTCCTGTGTGCATTCCTCGATGGTCAACACAGAGAACCACACGGTATCGAAGACCCTGGCCACAGGTTACTGTGCACTGAAAGGAGAATGCAAGAGAGGAGACTCACAGGTAAGGCCTCGTTCGGTTCCTGACACCTAAGACATTTTTAAGGACTGCTTGACACCAGGACTCCTTGTGGAGGGAAACACTTCTTACCAGTTACAGGGGTTTTGTTCTATTTGTCAATTTGGGATGAAGCTAACTGAAAACGAAATCACTTTCAATTTCTTAGCATTGGACAGATTTGTGAGCCATCTTTAGTATCCACTTTGTGTGGTCTCACACCAAGCTGGAAAGAGGGGAAAAGTAACTAGAGTGTGTGTTCACTTTTGATCACATCACTGCAGTCTGATTTTGACATCTTGTTACTGATGGCTAGGTCAACTATGGAAAACTACAGGAAACGCTAACTTTCACACTGACATTACATATGTTCTTTTTGGTTTGGGGGCCACATCTGGCATTCCTCATGGGCTACTCCTGGTTCTGAGCTACTCCTGGTTCTGACCGCTCCCAGCGGTCCTCAGGGGACCATGTAGATGCAAGAATGGAATCCACACTACCTTTTAAAGAAAGTGTTATCATAGCTCATTTATCTGGCAATGAGGCTGAGATAATTGATTATATTGATGTGGAAAAGAATGTTTAAATGGGTTGAATGTCCAGATGTAGATAACACCACCCATACATAATTCTGTTTGCTTAGGAGCAACTTTAGCAGGAGAGAAACATCAGCTCTGATGTGCTGCCACAAGCCACATGACTAAGTGAAGAGGTTTTTAACCATCTCTGTGGCTGAGGGCCCCAGTCTACTTCATCTTTCTTAACCTTTTCTGCAGTAGCAACTAGGAAACCTGAAACAACAGTCTATTTAAGCCACCACAGTGGCTTTCTGACATGTAGAACTCTTAATGTATTTCATTCTAATTATTTTTCTTTCATGTCCTTCTTTTGTTCTTTTAATGAATAAAATGCAGAGTTTTCATTTTGATCCAACCCGACTCTTTTTGTATATCAACAGAATATAAATTTTTTTAGAAAAAAAGAAACCAAATCATGGGCCTCCTGAGCTCTCTCATCAGTACAGCTCTCATGGATCCTGGATCAGTTCCTGGCTCACAATTCCACTAGAGGGACATTTGCTGCTTGAGGCACTCCTCTGGGGTTATGTCTATGCCCGCATTGCTCTCTACATAAACTCACTGTATTCTGGGCTTGGGACCTGGCTATGCCAGGAGCTAAGTTGGTAGGGGTCTAGAAAGCTCAAGAGGTGAGAGGAGCTGCACAGAGGAATGGGGGGTTCGTGATGAGGAGGGGCAAGAGTGGACTTACTCTCCTAGTGAATAAAGAAAGAAGGGCACAGTTACCGGAGACCACTCCTGTGCCAGCCATTTAGGGCAGTCAAAAATGTTGCAGGGCCGCACGGTGGGCATCTTAGGGGTGTACATGCATTTCCACTCTTCCACTGAGGTGACATGCCCCTGGATGTCCTCCTCCACACAGGAAACTGCCCGGCTCTGGATGCCCCCCCCACACGAGGAGGAGCACGCGGTCCACGGGGTGGCCTCCCACCTACAGAAGCAAGGGGAGTCATCAGGGCAGACACGCACATTGCCAAACCTCCGTAGTGGCCTTATTTACTACCCTGGTCCCGGGCCTACTGGGGCCGTCGCATTCTGAGAGGCTATGGGCCAGAGAACCAAAAGTCACACCTGGCTCAAGTTCTGAGAAGAGCAGACCCCTCACAGAGGCAACCAGACTGTCTCCTGGCAAGCTCTGCATGAATAAATATCAGAAACTAATGCTCAGAGAGCTCTCTATAAAGAGAGCTGTGCTGTCCTGATCATACTCAAAAGGGCGTTGTTGAGTCTTTCCCAGTTTGATGATTTGTTCTTTTTCTGAGTGTATGCATTATATTTCATAAACATATTTAAGATATTTTTACATTTAATGTGATATATACATAGGTATTGGTTTTTATTAAATCCCATTACATCTCTCTATTAAGACTAAAACTGGATAGCAGCTCACTCTAATAGCTTGCACCTGCACTGATCCTTTTATTATTATTTTTTAATGTAATATTTCATTATTTAGCTTCTGGATATGTTCACATGAGACACTCATAGAAACTCAAGGTAAACCAAGCTTTCATTCTCCTTTGCCTCTGGTATCCTCAGCTGTGAGCTATGTGAGTGCAGCATGGGTGTGAAGTTCAAATGTGCCATCATCAAGCTTAAGCAAAAGCATGTCAAGAGCAGCAATATCTCTTTGTTCCTTGGTGGCTGAGGAATCCTGCACCCAGCATTCCCTCAGTAAGGAACTGGAAGTGTAACGAGACATGGTTTTGGTAGGAAAGCTGATGGCATAGGAATCTACAGCTAATTTAAGTAAGGAAGAAAATAATACAGTAACATTTAACATAATTCCACTGACTTTTCAGCACAATTACACAGTTCTGAATCATTTGGGAGCAGATAGAGGTATTTTTGTCTTCTCACTTCCCACCCCGGGTGTAGATTTAGAAAATGTGGAAAAATTAAAAACAAACCTAGGGACATTAGTTTATCTTTCTTAAAGATATTATGCCAGTTAAGAAAGATTACTAAGAAACTATACTTCTCTTAGAGTTATGAGATAAGTTATCTTAGTGAGAGAAAAGCAAAATGTCATCAAGTTGATTCACTTGAATGATTAAATTTAAATATATTACACATAGAATGAATACATAATACATAAATAGGTTTTTAATGTATATCATGAGCCTAATTTATCCTCTGCATGTGCTCTAGTCAAGTATGCTTTCCAGTTACAGAGAGTGGTGTACATTTTCTCTGTACACTGAAGTCTAGGCAACAACTATTACCTCTACTGCTAATGCCGAAACATGCAACCAAATACAAAATTTTTCTATGCAATTTTTCCCAAGATATACTTAAGTAAATGTTATTATGGGGATACTGAGGCCCTCCATGTAGCTCGTAACCAATTTGGGCAGTGTTTTGCATCACACCTGGTGGTGCCAAGGGTTTACTCCTGATTCTCCATTGAGGTGTCACTCCTGGTCCTCAGAGAACCATATGGGGTGCCATGGATCAAACCTGGGTTGGCTCTGTGCAGGCAAGCCCCTACCTTGTACTACTGCTCTGCCCCCATCTTAACCAATTTTTTTCCTAATTCCCTTTAAGAAAATGAAGCAAACCTGCAGTTTCTTTCCCAAAAGGATAAGACCAATTTTTATGTCTCCAAATAAGTCTTTGAAGACCTTCCTTCTGAGGGTGTGTGATAGCTCTGATTTAGACCGAAATAGGGCTGATTATATATGCGCATATTCATATTGGATTTAATTTGACATCAAAGTGGGAATATAATTTGAATGTATATTTGATTTCTTGGAAAATTAAGATGCAATAGAAAGAGGATAGTTTCTAATTGGTACTTGAAAATCTTTAAACTTGACCCTTCCAAAGTGTGATTAATTTTTGTCAGAACACTTGGACAGGACCCATAGTGTAATATATCTTATTCAGAGACAGTAAAAGTATCTTTTTCAAGGTCATTGATCACAGAAAGAAAAATGATGCTACTATTATCCTGAGAATTTGCCGCATGTCTACAGAATATAACTATGGATCTATGAGTTTAAAAAAGATCATGTGAATCTTTGAATAATAATAGCACTGTGTAGAATTAAAATAAAACATTTTAAAAGAAGTATAACAATAGCTGAACAGAACAGAACTTTAGATCTTTAAAAACTGGCACTAGGTAAGAGCTTGGGGGGGAGACAAATATAAAATTCTTATCTTGCAAAAATAATAGTTTAACATTTTTTACTGTTACCTTTTAAAGCACCATATGTTTATTTTAATTTAAAAAATCAAGAGTGATTCGGAAAAGTTGTTAATCTTGCATTACAGATGACATTCCAATATTCAGATATGTGATACAAAGATTAAAAGGAAAAAAGAACAACTCAAAATTCAATGTTTTATATGTATATTTATGGGTCTTAGATGCATTTGAATAATTTAAGTAATGCTTCTGCTTTGGTCAGTGGGTAGTTGCTATTTGAAAATTATTTTTTGAGTCTCAACTGTGCATAAGAAAATGTATTTGTAAAATAGCTTCCATTTGCTGAGACTTAATAAAAAAGCAGAATATCTAATTATAGATCCTATCACTGAAAGGTATCAGAAATTTACTCTAACTTTATTTTCTTCTTAGAATGCATAGAGAAGCCACTGTATTCACTGACAATTACAAACACACATCAACAGGGTCATCTCAATCCACCACTGAGAATACTAGACTCCAGACAAGGGGAGAAAAGGAAATACATAAGGAAAAAAATCAAATGGAAATTAGTTGTTTCAGAGAAATATAAATAAAGGTAATCATACGTATGAAGGAAATTTAGGAATACTTCTACATGATAAAACATAAACTTGATGTACCTCATCCTGACACCCAACTTTATCTTTGTACTACCTTTAGGCAAACAGATTCATGTGCCTCTTGAATACTTATTTCACAGATACTGAATTAAAATCAAATAAAATCTTGGCTTAGTTAAATTAATTTTTAATTTTTTTCTTTTTGGGTCACGCCCAGTGATGCTCAGGGGTTACTCCTGGCACTGCACTCAGGAATTACTCCTGGCGGTGCTTGGGGGATCATACGGGATGCTGGGGATTGAACCCAATTTGGCTATGTGCAAGGAAACACCCTACACGCTGGACTATTGCTCCCGCCTAAAAATATTTTTATTTCAGTTTTTTCTAGGTGAAGATTGATTATGAAGTTTGGATTCAGATCAAACCAACACATAATATGTCAACAGTATTTCAAAGTTATGTATTATCTCTGTCAATATAGACATAGGAAAGTGGGAGGGAGCTGACTAAAAGAGCAATCCTTTTAGTTGAAGAACTCTCAAAAAATCTCAAACAATCAACAGAGCATATGTCAGATTCCCTTCTCTACATGCTATCATTGGAACAGTAGAAGTGAGATCCCTGCCAGTTTCTGGAAAAGTTGAAGTCAAGGTTAATTGACAACTTGCACAGGCATAGATGTATTTTATAACTATGTGTAAATACATGTACATTAATTGTACATCGATAGATATTTGTGTAAATACATGTTTGTGTATAAATGACAGATGGGCATGATTACTGGGAGAACAGTTGAGGAAATGAAGCATCACCAGAGAGCTGTAATAGATGACCTTCCTGGTTCCTATTTGATTGCAATTTATTAAGTATTTGGATATTCTTAATCAAATGTTGCTTAATTTCACATTTTAGAATAAGGTGATTAGTGGGCCTTTTTAGGTGAGTTTTATATTGAGAAAACTGCCATTTATTTTTTCACCTACTTCCATCTGACTTACACCCAGGTTCATTTTTAATTGTGGCTGACACCTTGAAGGTCAAATGAGCAAAGAGAATACAGCAAAGGTCTCAGCAGAATGGTTCCTTCCAAGCTAATTCTAGATTTTGCTAACTAGAGAATGTTTCAAATACATCAGGTAATATGATTAGTAGCTAAAAGTTTTCAGCTTCTCCAATTTTCTTATGGATATGTTAATAAAGAGAATTTGTGGTTATTATAGTCCAGAATAACCTCATTATTTTCTCTAGTATTAAAAAATATATTATACTTCACAAAAAATTATGCATGGAAAATTTTCTTAAAAAATATTCTGAACAAAAAGGATATGGGAAAAAAAAACCCTGTCTTTTCATACTTAATTCTTTAGAAAAAGGGATATGTAAAGCCACTATTCAGGGTAGTACTGCATCTGGAATTCCACATTTGTGTTACTGTGTGTTACTTCAGGCAGTGTTTGTTTAACAGTTAGGAACAGAGTTTTAATGACTAGGGTTTATTGCAGAGGAAACACAGAAAAGGACAAAGGGAGTGAGAGAAAGACATAACATAAACCTATACACTGTATCTAATCAGAGTGGACTTCTGTGTTCACTCCAATGTAATATGATCCTATCTTAAAGTGGCATTTGGCATTTGAGTGACAAACTTACATTCTGAGCATGCCCGTATTATTTAAAAGAGCTCAGAATGAATGGCAAAATATGCTATCTACCATTTTATTCTTACAGAAAAAAAACACAAAATATATATCTAGATTCAGATATCTATAAGAAGCAGAAGACTGACTTACTAATTCTAGCATCAGGATGATTGATTTACGTACCGAGGAAGGGGATGGTAGAGGTCATAAGGCATGATCTGCTTGTATCCGTCACTGTTAGGAACAATAATGCCAACCCTCTGAGTAGAAGGTACACACAATAAAATAAACACTAAATGATTACATTATACAATCTTTATACAAACGCAAAACAACATTAATAATTTGTCTCTAAAAAGAATATTAAAACCGTTTATCTTAATGCTATTCTTTATACTGTAGGATGGGGCAAGTTCTTTGAAAGGGTACCTTTTGCTATAATTAGTTCTCTGATCCAAGCAGGAAATACCAATGAAAGGGTGGTGGCAAGAAATCTTGGCACCTCATTATTAACTATGACACAATAAGCTTGTAAATGTTCTTCAATCCCCTAAATTATATATAGTATGAGGTCATTATTATTATTATCATTATTAATGTTACTTCCAGATGCTCACCAAGCAATTATGGTTCTGTCTCACTTCTGATGAAAGAGAGAGCTCTTTAACACGAGTATGTACCTGAGAATTGACAAATACTATGTCATGTGTATGAGCAAATAGATTTGTTCTCTTGGCAGACCTAAAGATTTCAGTAATATTTGGAAAAAAGCCACTTGATTATTTTATAAAGGAAAGGGAAAATAATAAATATCACAGGCAACTATCAACAAAAGAAAGTTGAATGTAGGTGAGATAATAAACAAAAGATGTTTTGTGGTCTGCAACACGTGATATAGTGCTAACTGAGATTATACTAGTGGCTGTGATTGGTAGGTTTGTTATTACCTGGTATTTGGGGGAACAAGTCAGATTTAGAGCTAGAGACTAAAGGAGCCACAGGAAATTATCTTATAGGCTGTGTGGCTAATGGATCCTTAAGAAATGACATTATAGTTGATTTGGAAGTTCCCAAAGATCTTCAAGACTCCCAGATACTGCACTAATCCACCTGACTGATTTTGATTCAAGAGTCTAATGGTCAAGATTTTTCTTCTTGCTGAGTCTAATGGTTTATGGAAGATTTATGACTCATGAATCTCAGATAAAAGGAACACTGCAACAGACCTTTCACCAAAGAGTGGGAGACAGAAAACTCAATCAGTTGGTGGCACCCTGGGACAGGGAATGGGAGGGCCTGAGCAGAAGACATTTTGCAAATGACAAATAATGGGAAGTTTCTTCTTTGAGTACTGAAGCAACTCATGCATTCAATATAATCCCCAAGATAGCTGGATATCTATTTATATGTGCAAAATTTTATGTGTGTGTATGGGTGTTTTACACTTGTATTCAAATACTTTTATTTTTATTCCATGTTATATTAATCCATATTCGATTGTTATAATATGTTTCATTTATATGGCTATCACAACTAAGCTTTTGGATAGTGTAAGTTGGGTGTACTGGGGATCAGAAAGATTAAAAATATAATAATGGCAAGTGATTATGATAAATAGGAAGGGACAAGAGAACAAAATAAACACAGTTCCTGAAAGAATAAATATGAGGAAGAATACATGTGAGAATTAAGTTTGTTTAAAAGAAAATGGAAAGCAAAACTGTGAAAATGGATTTCTGTCTCTGAGAAAACCATTTATCTTACATGACTAAATTTCCATATTTGTTGGTATAAATTTTTTTTACTAATTTGCATGACTAAATTTTTTTGATATATGCATATGTAACAATGCTCATAATTCATGATGCCTTTTAGGTATGTTAAAATTGATAGCTCTAATAGATACAAAAATTCAATAAACATTAATATTCATTTTCATTTTTGTTCTATGGACACTCTTTTTAAAAAACTTTATTTTTGACAGATAAGCAGTTGAATGAGAAAAGCAAATTTCACCTTGGTTACACTCTAGAACTATTTCTACCATTTCTTTTATCTAGTAATTGAAAATTCCTTTCTAAAAGAACTATATTTTAAAGAATTCAAAACTTTATAAGTTCTAATAGCTTTGGATATATGCACGTCTAATAGTAATTTAGAAATAAATAAAAATCGGCTTTGAAGCTATATTTTACCTAGGCCTAGTATCTTTGCTTATGCCATCATCAATTTCTAAATGCAGAAAAGCATATCATGGCCTTCACTCCTGAAAAAATTTATAGCTATGCTTTCTCGTTTTCATTATAGAATGAAATGTTGCAGTTATCTGCTAATTGATTTATCAGCTGATGATATTTAAATGGAGGCAGCAATATCAAAGAAACAATCTGGAAAAGAAAAGGGCAGGGGGAAGGGGAAATGTACAGAATTCAAGATGTTGGACTCTGCTATGGTCTGACTTAGAAATTATGTTTTTGTTTGAGTAAAGAGCTTTAAACCTGAATTTAGCAAAACTATAGCTATATTTATCTTTCTATGGCATGGGTCATGGTGAAGACTCATAAAATGACTCTATGGCACCTGTGAAAACAGAAAGATCAAAACAATGGTGCTCTGTCAAGTCCTGTTAATGTATACTCGTGCGCTTGGGCTCTGCTCTCTCCTGGGGTTCATGCCATGGCCCTAGTCTTTCACCACACTGTTGTAGAAAGGCAGGCAATCTTGTCTGAACTTAACTTCCTGTTGCTTACATTTAAGATACTGCCCCCCCCCCCATCACCTCTACCTCTCAGACAAAGTGTCCACGTCAAAGAATTTTGAAAAAGAAATGCCATAAGGGACTTTAAGAAGTCCTTCCTAGATCTCTGTGTATAAGTGAGTGTCTGTGTGCATGTATGTGTGTGTGTGTATGTGCGTGCGCTCACGTGAGCACACACATTCATTTAAATATGCATCTGAATATAATATGTGAGAGAAGGCAATTGGTGAATGAGGCAAAATGATTTTTAAATCAATTAAAAAAGAAATATATGCGCAAGCTAATTTGCTGTGACACAGTCCATTCTCCAGTGCCTAAACTCTTCTGACCATTCATGCACTCCTTAGATTCTGCAAAAGCCTAGGATCTCAGGGGGGTGGGTCGGGAAGAAGGTGAAGATAAGAAAGTAATCATTCTGGACTGATGTGGTATAGGACCTATGTCCTACCTCTACCTCATCCTCTCCAAGCACATGCTTGACTGAAATATCCAGTAGTAGGAGAATGCTTCATGTTATGAAGGGGACATGCAGTGAAATATTCTGAAGTGCAAAAGCTTTCAGTCTTTTTAAACATGGAAAATACTCAAATGTAATGTCACTTGACAATAAGTAGATATAAAATAAATATGCAATATCATCTATTTATATATAATTAAAAAGTTAATATGTTCATACAATCACCCATCCTGCCATTATCATAAGGTCTATGTGCACAAACAAGTATATTAGAGAAAGACTAAAACCCATTGTTAGTTTCTGGTGTTTGCATTATGGGCCCTTTTGTTTTTCCTTTCTTTGTTGGTCTGTTTTTCAAGTTCATTCCCTTTTACTTCTTTTATGGTAATTGGGAAAATTTCAAGAAAAATTGAAACCTCAGAAATATTTAGAAATACGAGATATAAAATAGTAAAATTAGCCCATGAGTTGAAAACTCATGTCCTATTTAAAGATTATTGAGACTCTGTCTCTAAATCTTCTCAGACACTTCTTCAGAGCATTATCTCTAATGTTAACAACCAAGCCATAATCAGCCTCATATACCTTAGTGGTGGAATTTACCTATTTTGACAAATTTCCCTCTTCAAGAAAAATCCTAGCATAACTAGCCCCATTGGTGTCAAGTTATGGGTTACTGGGATCATTTTAGGATGAAATGAAAATAGGAACCCCCTTCATGGTTTCAGCACTCCTTCCCATGGACTCTCTCATGACATCCTGTCACTTCTGAGCTGCCAAGCTTCATTTCCAACTTCCTGACAGCTGGATAGGCTTCCTGACACAGGACAAGCTCAGTGCATCAGGCAATTCATTATCTTCCACTGTAAACTGGTTCCTGCTTTGTGATCACTATTACAGCTGAAGGCGCTGCCACCCTCCCATCAGGCTACTTACTATGGGACATCTTTACTATCTCTCTTCCCCATATTTCCTACAGTTTCAGTTCTTTCAGTGTAAGATCTGCCAACTAATGACACTCTGACCAAATTTGGGCCCTTTTGTAGCAATATCCTAAAATACCTTTCTATGAGCATTCCTCCAATACAGCCTGCTAATTGTTGTCAGAGCAACTGACACTTTACTCCCCAAGTCAGAAGACACAAATGGTGTTCTAATACACAGTGACATTCTTAATCAGGTGCTACTCCTTCTGAAGCCTGTCCAAAATTTCTCTTTCAACTTCTACCCATAAATCTCTCATCCATCACACTATTAATTTCTCTCATCACTGTTAACTACATATTCACTTATAATTAAGTGTAAGTTTCCTTTAGTTTTACATTATGGAGCAGAACCTATCTTGGGTTCTTCACTTTAATTATTGGCAGAGTGATACGCACAGTCAGAGAAATTAGTAAATACTCATGGATTCAAATCACATCATCAGGATGTGAACACTGAAGCAAGATACAAACCACCGTGTATAATTAGAGCAAGCAAACATAATGTTAAAGATTCTCAAACCACCACTCATGGTCACATTTTCAGTGCTGCTCCTTGTCTTTAGCTCTGCCATCTTGAGGAAAGGGCAGACTAAGTAAAAAAGATGGTTTGGCAGTCAAGGAAAGCAGCGCGGCATGCAGAAATGATTGAGTGATACAAGGCAGAGAAGGGATTGATCAATGTCAACTATGCTCTAGCCTGTTTGTCTTCATTCTGTCTTTTCATTGGATCCCTCCCAGAAAGAGCCATGGTAATTTAAAATTTTTTTACTCCCTCTCTGTGTCATGTGTGTTTCTGATAGCATATTGCTTTGTAAGTTTCCAGCCCAGCTTTCCTCATCTCCCAGAAGTTTTGGGGCTCAGAATCGACTAGATTTTTTTGCTTTCACCCTGGTTCCTAACATAAAACAATATAGGCCAGGTATTCATTTAAAAAAAAGAATCAGTGAAAATGTGGGTGGCAGAAGAGATTCTTGTACAGAATATAGTAATTCATCCTTCCCACTACACCATAGACAGCAATCACTTCCTAAGC